CCCTCAGATATAGCACTAAGCGTTTTCTGGTCAGTAAGCTCGTTCTCAGAGAGTGAATCTTATAATCGACTGAGGGCGTGCGACATACAGTAAATCGTGGTGAAATATGCCAAGGGTTAATGTCGAGGCTTCGGCCGAATAAACGGTCTTGGCTGTCGAAGATGAGTTTGCTTTCACGCACTGGCAACTCGAGTAAAATATAGTCGTCTTATAAAATCGAAAGTAAGGGACATAATGACTATACAGGAAACAGCTCGAGAACATGGCTTGCATCTTTGACTTATCATAAAAGAAATACGGCGACTCAATCACAAGCGAATCCGCTAATGACAGTACAAATAATAATGTTTATTATAGTACGTTTAATACTCGAAATATTAAAAGCTTCAAACACAATTTCGCCGACAATACAGCGTTAACTTGTTCAGACTAAGACACTGGCCAGACATTACAGGGGTTGGTGTTTGTTTTGTTGACTGGGGGTCACTCATTTTTGTGTACACATGCAAGCACCTTTGCACTGCTATTCAAACACTACAGCTGGTAGCTGCTTCCAATAACAGTACAGATAATTGACATTACATTTTGGATGATACTATGATATGGTATAGTATAGTATATGAAAATAAACACACCAATACATATTAGGATACAACTCAAGTTTCCAATATATTAAATCATGTGCATTCAGTAATAATTATATATGTCGACATGATATTATAACCCGTGTTGGTGCGGGTTAGTGAGACCAATGTGTTCTAGTGGTGATTTGTTCGAGAATTGTACAAGCAAATATTAATAGAATAAGGGCAGGCTGCCTTCACTGTCAAATATTTGTAGTCTGTAAACGTATTTTGTCGACCAATTGAATTTCACCATATTTGTGAACTCATAGAGTGAAGCTCGGCAACGTTTAAGTATATCCTGTTGGTGTTTTGTTTTTGCATTCATTGCATCAACGTAATTTAACCCCTGACTGGTGAGAATATGTGAGACGACCCCTTTAGCTCTTACCATATATATATATATATATATATATATATATATATATATATATATATATATATATATATATATTACTCATAACGAAACTGAAACTAAAATATATTGGCGGGACGCTGAGATATGGAGGTAAAATAACGAAGTCAAATTCAATTATTGTACAATATGTATATTTCTAACTGAAGTCAACCTCACTTTATGCGTTTCTCTTCACAATAGGTAACAATGCCGTGTTCAAATCAAATTATTCCCCAAAATTCGCTCGAACCCTGCTCAAAGCGATGCCGTTCCAAGAAAATGGACTACAGGATTACCGAGGATATGACTCATATTGTCTATTCCTAACTATATCTGTTTCGATTAGAACTATATTGTATTCATTGAATCTAATATGTGATAATAACTAGTGATTAGTGGTGATGTAAATATTTTATAATAAAACAAGAGCAACACAACAGACTAATCGCGCTTGTTCGTGACGTGACACTGCATCTGTTCGCCTTACGTGTTTTCCGTTTTGTAAAAAAAGACAGTATGTAATTACGGTGTGCACATATATTTGTGACTACACTTAAACTGTACTACACCTCCCCCA